TAATCAAGTAACAGAAAGTGTATTAATCGGTTTATTTATTATGTGATTGATGTAGGTTGGCTCTTAACTCAAATGAACTCTTATAAAACCATTTTGGAGAAGAAAATCCGGTTCTATATTTATAATGTACCCCAAACACGGGGAATCCGTGGGAATTCCACAGCTGACTTGACAGTCCACTATTTCAAGGGGTGCAAGTGTGCTGCTGTGTGTTGCACTATTTCAAGGGGTGCAAGTGTGCTGCTGTGTGCTGCTGTTGTTGAGTGTTCATCTAGTGTGTTTTATAGTACCAAAAATCCTTCTTCATCTTCTTTGTAAACTGGCAGCTGTGAGCTCTGGTGGAAACCCCTGGCTGTTTCTCCATTAAGACTTTGGCTTTATGCCAGGACCTGAGTTTTGCGTGTACATCCGTTTTGCTGGCATATTTGTGTGCAGCTGGTTGTTCCTTGTCGCTCGAGCAGATGCACACTGACTTTGAAGAATGTCTACTCTTACCGTATTTTTTTTTCCTTAGGAATTTGGTCTATTCTTGTATTTCCCACAAAAGGGACCCGCATCCCACACGGGAAGAAAGAAAACAATACATATGAGAAAGTTGTAGATAGTAATGCAAGAATGAAGACAGAATCAAGTCGCAGACAGTAGTCTAAAATAATTTAAATCCACGGCGATGGGCAGTGCGTGTTGGACATCCATGAGAGCATCCTTCATTGCAAGGATCTTCCTGGCGATGTGGTCAAACCGTTTGCTTAGCGTTCTTTATGTCGTGCGTTCGACTCATTACAGGGACGCGTTATTCAGTTTGTGAGTACGTATTTCATGCACATTCATGGGGGCGTCGTTGGGGCTATAGTTCGTGTTTTCTGAGACGGTCTCGGCAAGCAGCGACCGTTTTAAAGAGGGAGGCCAAGCCGTGTGGGGTAAACCGGGGCATTGAAGTCGATCCGCCTGATCTTAACTTTCAACGTCTTTTTTGTGAAGACGGCACCTGAGTCTTTATTATGAATTATCCAAGTAACAGAAAGTGTATTGATCAGCACTCATAGAAAGAAGTAGATAGATAGAAGTACAGATAGATAGTCATTGAAAGAAGTAGATAGATAGTTTTTATTGATTGATTGATTGTCTCCCCGGGTCCCAGGAGTCGCCTCCCCTGACATGCGCGCGCACATGACAACAAACATGGAGGCTGTGGTAGACAGTCTTGTTGAAGCTAGAAGATCATCTGACAAGTAAGAACAGGGCAGCCCCACAACAGACAAAACATTCACAGTCGCATGCACTCTCTGGAGGTATAAGCTATATGACATTATTTACGCTTCTCCTGCTACATCTTCCCCACATTTAAAGGATTCTGACTAGAATTAAACATCGAATGGGTCGTGTTTTTTTCTTCTTGGATTGGCTATGCATGCTATCGAGAATTTTTATTTATAAGATATATAAGAATGTTGTTATTGTATCCCCCATCCCTTTTTGTTTATAGCCTATGTAATGTGGCTTAGGCTTTGCAAACGAACACGCTTCATAATGCCGCAGTGCCAGGTTCAATCCCAGCTATGGATGGTTTGTCTTGCGTTGGTACCGAGAGCTGACCGTTTAGTTGGCAATGGCAAACTACTGAACGTAAAATTTGTCTAGGAAAACACAGCAGCCACACACACAAAAGATGGGGTTTGTTTTGGAACATCCTGTAAATGATACGCAACTAACTTTGTTTATAGAAAATACAAGATACTACTGGCTAAAGCTGTCAAATTGGCATTAGGGGTACCCCATCTATGTTGCTATTTGGAGATTGATGCATTAATCTGAATAGATAATACATTTGATAATTTAAAAGAAAAAGGGCTATCTTCTGAATAGCGGGCACAAAAGATGGCGGCCACAAAAACATCCTAACAGAGCCTCAGTCACGTGTCAATTGTGCACTTCCAGTGATTTAATTTGCGGTTTTCCGGTGACTACCGCCGAGATTGGCGTGGATTGGGGCTAAACTAGATGGCTGGGACTCACGAGCAGCAGCTTCTGCATCTCCTGCAGCTTTGCTCATGAGTCCTGGTCATCTAGTTTAGCCCCAATCCACGCCGCGGTTTCGGTAGTCGCCGGAAAACCGCAAATTAGGTCGCCAAAAGTGCGCAATTGACATTGGCCGCCATCTTTTGTGCCCGTTATTCAGAGGATATCCAGAAAAAGAATTTGATGATACTCCTTCAGCAGGAGTAGTGATACAAGCAGTAAATTAGACGGGGTGAACTGGAGTCTGCTCTCACAGAAAGAAAATATGACCTGCTATGGGGATATTAAACATTAGTGAAGAAAATTACACATGAACATATAAATTAAAAACAAGACAGCGGCCAATACACATCACAGAAACATAATGCTTGGATTCTATCAAAGAGAAAGAACTAGGGGTCAGCGAAGACAAAATTGTGTAGAGGTTGGTGTGGCTCATAATTGTCCATGGCTGTCCCTGTCTATCGGGAAAGTAGCTGGTTGAGGAGATGGCTAACAAATTATGTTGAGAGGTTTCAAGTAATTATAAATCGCTGAGATCTTCTGGTACCTGGTATAAAGCTTTTTCTTGTAATGCAAGCTGTTGGTTTTGCTGGTGATGTCTGACTACAACATTCTGTCTCACGTAGTTTCATTATTTCTGCCACAGATGGTTTTTCGTTACAAAGATGTCAAACTGTTTTGATCTTTGCATTCACCAGCTATAAGGTCCAGCTGAAAGTTCTGGTTGTTTGTCCACTTCTGGACTTTAATCATGTTCCAGAACTTGAGTGTTGCATGCACTTCCGTTTTACAGATCAGGCTTATTTGGGCAAAGACTTATGGTTCCTTGCCTCTCAGGCAGGTGCATTTTGACTTGAAAGGAAACCCCTAATTAGTCAGATTTTACGACTTGCTTGTTAGGGAGCCCTCTTCTCTCTCCCTCGCCTACCCAAATGGGGCTCCGGGGACCCAAACAGGGAGATTTCGTTACTAATTATGTAGCATTCACAAATACACAGAGTAGATCACTCAAAACTTTTCAGTAAGCAGAACGTAGAAGAAGAAGAAGTAAGCAGTATTTTTCATATTCTTCCTTTTTATTTTTTAAAACAATTTTGATTTTTAAAATCTGGGATATGGCAACTATTTTTTTTTTTTACTGTGTCACTAGTTGGCCCAAGATATAGGAAAATAATCATCTGTTTGATTTTTGCATTTTTGCTATATAGAGAAAACTATAATATGTGCTATTTTAGAAACTACAGTGTGCACAGTTTTGCTCAGGTTAATAATCTTTCTTTCTGTTCTTCTGTGCTATCTTTTTAAAATGGCTTTCAGACTACTTTCTGATTTTGCTATTACAGCTTGATAATTAGCAAATGTGTGCAACATTTATTCCAAAGATGTGACTGCTACCAAATTTAAGAATAATTTATGTCATATATGTGACTGCTTAAATACTTGTGTGTAATTTATGCCATTGATGTAACACAGATGTGTGTGTAATTTATATCATTGATATAACTACTACCACCAGATGTGTGTATAATTTTTATCATAGATATGACTACTGCTAGCAAATGTGTGTATAATTTATATCATAGTACAATTTATTCCATTGACAAAACTGCTAGCAGGTTTGTTTATGGGCTACTAAAAAAATAAAATCTTCTACGTTGAGATTCAAGAAGGTAGGCGCTTTTGTGGTTGGCATAAAAAAAATTAAGCTTTTAGGACACCCCAAAGGCATCATATTAAAGCCTTCAGTATAAAACCTGACATATGAAGGCTACTGCACAAGACCTAACTGTATGGTGAATGACAATCTGAAGAGGCGCAGTAACTTTCAAGCCATCTAGAAAAAAGGGTGCTCAACAGCGAAGAAAGACCAGTGTTACAGATCTTTTACCAGCAGACACTGTTCCTTATCCCATTTGTCCTAGATCCTTCAGGGCCCCTATTGGGGTTATGAGTCGCCTCTGGACTTACACAATCAACTATAGTTTCATGGCTGATGGAGGAAAATGTGGTCATCATCACTTGCGTTGGACAGTCAGCAGCAGCAGCAGGTGTGTGTGTCATTTATGCCATTGATGTGTTTACTAGTAAGCCCATGTAGAATGTATGCCTATACTGGGACTACTAGATGTGCATTTGTGCAGAATTTACACCAGTATTGGGACTACTAGCTGATGTGTACATATAATGTATTGGGACTACTAGCTGATGTGTACATATAATGTATTGGGACTACTAGCTGATGTGTACATATAATGTATTGGGACTACTAGCTGATGTGTACATATAATGTATTGGGACTACTAGCTGATGTGTACATATAATGTATTGGGACTACTAGCTGATGTGTACATATAATGTATTGGGACTACTAGCTGATGTGTACATATAATGTATTGGGACTACTAGCTGATGTGTACATATAATGTATTGGGACTACTAGCTGATGTGTACATATAATGTATTGGGACTACTAGCTGATGTGTACATATAATGTATTGGGACTACTAGCTGATGTGTACATATAATGTATTGGGACTACTAGCTGATGTGTACATATAATTTATTGGGACTACTAGCTGATGTGTACATATAATGTATTGGGACTACTAGCTGATGTTGTACATATAATGTATTGGGACTACTAGCTGATGTGTACATATAATTTATTGGGACTACTAGCTGATGTGTACATATAATGTATTGGGACTACTAGCTGATGTGTACATATAATGTATTGGGACTACTAGCTGATGTGTACATATAATGTATTGGGACTACTAGCTGATGTGTACATATAATGTATTGGGACTACTAGCTGATGTGTACATATAATGTATTGGGACTACTAGCTGATGTGTACATATAATGTATATCAATGATGTGACTACCTACACAGGTGTATATAACCCAGACAACAAGATGGTGGCTCCAGGATGCTGGCAAAGTTAACATCTTTGTTTTGGACAAAACCAAAGACCATGGACACCAGTGTTGTCAGTCTGCCACCAGATCTTCCCAGCTGGCCTCTAGTCAAAGAACTTCTTCAGGATTTGCAGGGGCGACTTATCAACGAGAACATATCAGACCAGGTAACTAGTGAAGTTTTTTTTTATCTTTCTGCTTTCCTTATTTAGTTTCTCAATATCGGATTCAGAACAAAATATAGATTTAGACTAACTTAAATGACCAGTTTTATATTTTGGAAAAAATAAATATTATTTGTTTTTCAGTTGATACGCTTTTCTTTTTTTTTTTACAATCTGTATTTTGTGGCATGGATCACAAGCAGAACGATGTGTTTGAGGTCTTCGTCGGCCTTCCAATCAGCATAGTTTTGTTTTATTGACCAGCATTCCTCTCTTCTCTGGCTAATTGGGGTTGTCTTCTGTATGCAGTTAGGATTGCAGAGGTGCTGAGCCACATGTGCTGGTTCATGCTGGACAACACCTATCTACACCTCACTCTGGTCATTCTGAACGCAGATTGCAAAATGGGAGTTTAGCCAACCTAACAGGATAGTTTTTTTTTTTGGGGGGGGGGGGGGGGGGGGGGGGGGGGTCAGAATGCATCTGCCTGAGTGGGGGGGGGGGGGGGGGGGGGGGGGTGGATGGCTAGAAGTAGCAGTCTGTACACAGATAAGCCAGATCGGACAATGGACGGGCACGCAACACTGAACTCCTAGAACAAGATCAAAGTCCAGGATATCTCACCAGAAGCTGTCACTTAGTTTTGTTTCTTTATGGTCAGGGAGAGCATTTGTTCTTTTTTTCTCATCCTCCTCCTTCTCTTCCTTCTTCTTCCTTCTTCTCCTCCTCCTTCTTCCTCCTGCTCTTTTTTCTTCTTCCTCGTCCTCCTAATCATAATCATCATCATTCTAGGCCTTTGAGGTTCATCATTGCAGATATTACCCACATCCATTCTTCTCTTTGCTTGACCTTCTCTTTCCAGTAGGGGACTCTATATATTTGTTAGTCTGCCCATATATTATCTCTGCACCATCTTTTTGTTCTACCATGGTCTGCTCTCATTCATCTCTTTCCTGTACATATTTTTATGTCTCTCTTGTCTGTCATTTTCTCTATATGCCCCTTGCCTTTGTAGTCTATTAGCCCTTCTGTTGACTAATTAGTGGGAATTAAAGAGTATTTAACAATTTTGTTTCTGAACAGGAGACATGTTGGTTTATGCAGACAGTTTACAACACCATTCAGTCAGAACGACCATGGAGTGGTGCCAAGGACAGCCTCATAAAAAGATTCAAATCTCAGATTCACTCTAATGCTCAAAAGAAGTTAGACCCCACTTGTATTTGGTTTGGGCTGCTTAAATATCTGAGGAAGGTGTCCAGGGATGAAAGAGACAAGTTTCTGTATACTGTTTTGCCAAACATCATTGAGTTTGCTGTGGGAATTGAGGACTGTCGCCCGGAGGGGTCTCTTCAGATAAGCAGACAGCAACATGGTCAGTGGTTTACTGCTTCCTTCAGTATAACTGATTACTCATTTAAGCACACCAGTCATACTAATAGATGCTCAGTCTTCTGCAGCAAATGTCTCAAGGCATGAATATTGGTTGTTCCTTCAGAAGATTCTAATGATAAAGATAGTCACATAGAAGATCCTGCTGCTGGGAAATCAGGTGTTAGGCTTTCAGATATTCTGGGTCACGACTAATGGGTTGAGGTGGCCAGAGGCCTTCTAATTCTGAAGATTGTCTAGTATCCATTTAATGAAGCTTGGTTGCCTTCACTGATACTGGTTAAATAAATATAATGATGCTACTGCCCGAGAATGAACTAGGAGCACTGTTAGCAGGCAGGCACACTATACCGCGATGGTACCCAAAGCAATATAGTTATTTATTAAACCCTTTCACCAATGGTCTTTTTCAAAATGTGTTAAACAAAGGCATTGTTGTAATTCTCTTAACTCTGCCCTAAGAAACTAGAAGAGGAGAAGCAGCAGAAGAAATTTTGTGTCTTGGTCAGTTTTTATAAAATTCCAGGGTGTTGAAACCAGTGACCATGGAGAAGACAAGCAAGGCTGCTAACTATTGCAGATCATGACTCCAAACTCACTGAAAATGTGGATTTGTCATATTTAGTCATTATTTTGCACAAAGATGACTTTTTTTTATCATTGAAGGGAAGTAATCACTTAGTACAAATGCAGCAGAGAAATAACTGCTTTCCTTCCCTTTGACCAGGAAAACATGGGTTTTGTTGACACAGCCTCAGAGAGCAGAGGGATATCAATATAATTTGATTATGATATCATATGGACATAAAATAAAAAATCTTTCACCCCAAATAATATCTAGATTTCTATCATGCCAACTGTGCAGTTGCAACCAGTACCGAAGCTTTCATATAGGCACTGCCCAAAGATGTAATGTCAACAAACATCTGAGAAACAGCTTTTTCAGGGTGACATTGTTGATGGTGAAAGGTGATTCTGGAAAACTTCCCAATGTGAAGCACTAGCAAACTTCATTATTTTAAAGAAAGGAAATATTTCACAAATGTCTTTCTGTAGATTGTCCTCGATTAGCCTTGATTGAAGAGAAAAGTCAGACAATTTAATCATTTACTTATGATTTTTTGCACTTTGTGGGTCTTCTGATACTTCATCCTTTCTTCTGCTGGCTGTTGTTGCATATATAACTTTAAAAAGAAAATTTGTGTGTGTCCTTTATCTTTGTAATGAAACTCAGTTCTTATACGACACCACAACATCTAGCATGAGAATGGAGGTGGTGACTGCAGCTCTCCGGTAACTAGAGACCAAGATGCATACACATGTTATAATTGTAACAGACTCTGAAAGCATGCGAAAAAAGGTGAAGACATGGATGCTTCGAGCAGAGTGGCAAGCTTCACTGGAAAGGTCACAGTTAGTGAGCATACTTTGGATCTTTTCTCCAGGCCATGCCGGCGTGGTGGGTAATGAACAGGCAGACAGATTGGCTGGATCCGCACCACTGGGTGGTGAATTGATACATGACAAGGCAGATGTGGTCAAGGCCCTTTAGGAATGAGCAACAGAATCAGTAGAGAAAGAAGATTATTATGGCCTGGAGAGAATGAGGCACCTGGGTGTAACCAGAGGGTCTTGCCGGCTCACTACACTCAGAGGAAAGGCAAGGACAGACATTCAACCAGATTGTGACCGGTACCACCAGAATTGGAACTCTGCACTGGCTGCTGAAGATGAGGACAGAGCATGCATGGGAATGCCCCACGTGCTGTGATGTAAATTCTTGACTCAACTCAACTCAATTCAGTTCTTTAACTTCCCACCATGTACCTATTTGTCTATATATATGATCTTATGATCCAGGTGTGAGTTGATCTTTATCACCTGTTGCACGGATGCCTCTGATTCACCCACATTTCATTCCCAACGGAGGCAGTCTAACAAGTCTATTTTCTACGAAATGAATTACCAACAACCAAACAAACCCTCCCAGTCTCTTCTACAGTACAACTCTCATACCAATAACCATCAGAAAATTCTTGTTCTAAACCACACAGTGTGGGAATTGAATCCTAGTGTGTCTGAGATTGTGAAATGTGTTTTCCTAACCTCTGATCTACAGAGCAGCACTACTAGCATGTACTGTTACCTTTATGTATCTATTGATACCTTTATGCGTCTATGGTTACCTTTATGTATCATCGGTTACCTTTATATATCTATTGATACCTTTATGCGTCTATGGTTACCTTTATGTATCATCGGTTACCTTTATATATCTATTGATACCTTTATGCGTCTATGGTTACCTTTATGTATCATCGGTTACCTTTATATATCTATTGATACCTTTATGCGTCTATGGTTACCTTTATGTATCATCGGTTACCTTTATATATCTATTGATACCTTTATGCGTCTATGGTTACCTTTATGTATCTACTGCTGCCTTTATCTGTACAGTATGCTCTTGCCTTTATATTTCTACTGTTACCTTTATGAATCTACTGTTACCTTTATGTATTTATGGTCACCTGTCTGTAAAACATATTGTTATCTTAATGTAAATAATATTACCTTATTGTATATACCGTTACATTTATGCATATACCATTACCTTTATGTATGTGCAGTTACCTTTATGTATATATTGTTACCTTATCTGTTACCTTTGTGTATCTAAATGTTAGTTCACAGTACTGTATATTTTGTTTCTCTGAACTCAGGTGGATCAGTAAAACTGTCCAGGCTGTTTGTTTGTTCCGTTGTGGCTTGCTACTTTTTATGTTTGTTTCCTGAAACAAAGAGGGAGTCGTCCACTATGAACATCATCAACTTTACAGCTTTCTTCAAGCATCTGCCTCAGTGAGTAGACAGTGTTGTATGTGTCTTTGGTTGTCACAGGCATGTTGATAGGGGACAGTGTTTGCTGTCACAGATGTATTGTGAGGGGAACAGTGTTTGCTGTCACAGATGTATTGTGAGGGGGACAGTGTTTGCTGTCACAGATGTATTGTGAGGGGGACAGTGTTTGCTGTCACAGATGTATTGTGAGGGGGACAGTGTTTGCTGTCACAGATGTATTGTGAGGGGGACAGTGTTTGCTGTCACAGATGTATTGTGAGGGGGACAGTGTTTGCTGTCACAGATGTATTGTGAGGGGGACAGTGTTTGCTGTCACAGATGTATTGTGAGGGGGACAGTGTTTGCTGTCACAGATGTATTGTGAGGGGGACAGTGTTTGCTGTCTCTGGCGTGTTGAGACTAAAATAAAAATGTGCTGTCGCATGTGTATTGAGATATAGTTATGTTTGCTCCACAGAGACATTTTGAGAGGGGAAAGGGGGGGGGGGTGTTGATGCTTGCTGTCACAGGTGTGTTGAGATGGGGGGAGAGGGGATGATGTTTGCTCTCACAGGTGTGTTTATATTAAAAAGGGGCTGGAGTGGTGATGTTGGCTGTCACAGGTGTGTTTAGATTAAAAAGGGGGTGGGGTGGTGATGTTTGCTGTCACAATTGTGTTGAGATTGGGGAGGAATGGGTGGGGGTGATGATGTTTGCTGTCACAGTTGTGTTGAGATTGGGGGGGGGTGGGTGGGGTTTGGTGATGTTTGTTGTCACAGTTGTGTTGAGATTGGTGGGGGGGATGGGTGGGGTTTGGTGATGTTTGCTGTGACAGGTGTGTTGAGATTGAGGAGGGGGTGATGTTTATTGTCGCAGGTGTGTTAAGATTGAGAAGGTGGTGATGTTTGCTGTCACAGGTGTGTTGAGATTGAGAAGGTGGTGATGTTTGCTGTGACAGTTGTGTTGAGATTGAGGAGGGGGTGATGTTTATTGTCGCAGGTGTGTTAAGATTGAGGAGGTGGTGAAGTTTGCTGTCGCAGGTGTGTTGAGATTGAGGAGGGGGTGATGTTTGTTGTCACAGGTGTGTTGAGATTGAGGAGGGGGTGATGTTTGCTGTCACAGGTGTGTTGAGATTGAGAAGGTGGTGATGTTTGCTGTCACAGTTGTGTTAAGATTGAGGAGGTGGTGATGTTTGTTGTCACAGGTGTGTTAAGATTGAGGAGGTGGTGATGTTTGTTGTCACAGTTGTGTTAAGATTGAGAAGGGGGTGATGTTTGTTGTCACAGGTGTGTTAAGATTGAGGAGGTGGTGATGTTTGTTGTCACAGGTGTGTTAAGATTGAGAAGGGGGTGATGTTTGTTGTCACAGGTGTGATGAGATTGAGGAGGGGGTGATGTTTGTTGTCACAGGTGTGTTAAGATTGAGAAGGTGGTGATGTTTGCTGTCACAGGTGTGATGAGATTGAGGAGGGGGTGATGTTTGTTGTCACAGGTGTGATGAGATTGAGGAGGGGGTGATGTTTGTTGTCACAGGTGTGATGAGATTGAGGAGGGGGTGATGTTTGTTGTCACAGGTGTGTTGAGATTGAGGAGGGGGTGATGTTTGTTGTCACAGGTGTGTTAAGATTGAGGAGGTGGTGATGTTTGTTGTCACAGGTGTGTTAAGATTGAGGAGGGGGTGATGTTTGCTGTCACAGGTGTGTTAAGATTGAGGAGGGGGTGATGTTTGCTGTCACAGGTGTGTTAAGATTGTGGAGGGGGTGATGTTTGTTGTCACAGGTGTGTTAAGATTGAGGAGGTGGTGATGTTTGTTGTCACAGGTGTGTTAAGATTGAGGAGGGGGTGATGTTTGTTGTCACAGGTGTGTTAAGATTGAGAAGGGGGTGATGTTTGTTGTCACAGGTGTGTTAAGATTGTGGAGGGGGTGATGTTTGTTGTCACAGGTGTGTTAAGATTGAGGAGGGGGTGATGTTTGTTGTCACAGGTGTGTTAAGATTGAGGAGGGGGTGATGTTTGTTGTCACAGCTGTGTTAAGATTGAGAAGGGGGTGATGTTTGTTGTCACAGGTGTGTTAAGATTGAGGAGGGGGTGATGTTTGCTGTCACACGTGTGAGGAGATTGGGGAGGGGGGATATTTGTTGTCACAGGTGTGATGAGATTGGGGAGGGGGATGTTTGTTGTCACACGTGTGATGAGATTGGGAGGGGGATGTTTGCTGTCACAGGACTGGCATGATGAGAACATAAAAGAAGGTTTGCTGTCACAGATATGTTGAGAAAAACATAAAGGTTTGCTATCACAGATGTGTTGAGCTGGAAGAATGCTTTGTGTCCCTTCTAGGCCTCACTACATGGGCAGTTACCTTATATTGCCTTACTTGGAAATGTTATGACAGAAACTTTGCTTTCCTTGTATTGACCTGCTGTATGGTTTCTGTTTTAGCCCTTCACAGGTAGCAAAACTGCGTTGTGTGCTGCACTACTTTGAGTGTATGATGGAGAGGGGCACTGGTGTTCAAGGAAACATACTCTTCTGCAGGAAGGTAAAGTTTACCATCATCATGGGATATTTTTTCTTGTTGTCAAGAACGATGATGTCTCTTTTACAGCCTGTTTGAATCCTGAAAAAATTGTTGTGTGTCTGTTTGCAGATATATGTATAAGTTCTGTTCTTATATCAGCACCAGAACCCATGACCTTCCAATCTAGCAGCTACACTGTGTTGGGAGTTATGTTGTGTAAAGAACCGGCTACATGATGATGTTGTGTAAAGAACCTGCTACATGATGATGTTGTGTAAAGAACCTGCTACATGATGATGATGTGCAAAGAACCTGTAACATGATGATGATGTGTAAAGAACCTGCTACATGATGATGATGTGTAAAGAACCTGCTACATGATGATGTTGTGTAAAGAACCTGCTACATGATGATGTTGTGTAAAGAACCTGCTACATGATGATGATGTGTAAAGAACCTGTAACATGATGATGATGTGTAAAGAACCTGCTACATGATGATGATGTGTAAAAAACCTGCTACATGATGATGTGTGTAAAGAACCTGCTACATGATGATGTTGTGTAAAGAACCTGCTACATGATGATGATGTGTAAAGAACCTGCTACATGATGATGTTGTGTGTCAAGAACCGGCTACATGATGATGTTGTGTCAAGAACCTGCTACATGATGATGTTGTGTCAAGAACCTGCTACATGATGATGTTGTGTCAAGAACCTGCTACATGATGATGTTGTGTCAAGAACCTGCTACATGATGATGTTGTGTCAAGAAACCTGCTACATGATGATGGTGTGTGTAAAGAACCTGCTACAAGATGATGTTGTGTCAAGAACCTGCTACATGATGATGTTGTGTCAAGAACCTGCTACATGATGATGTTGTGTCAAGAACCTGCTACATGATGATGTTGTGTCAAGAACCTGCTACATGATGATGTTGTGTCAAGAACCTGCTACATGATGATGTTGTGTCAAGAACCTGCTAACATGATGATGTTGGGTCAAGAAACGGCTACATGATGATGCATTCTTCAGTAAATGTCGGCTGGTTGACATCATTCAAATGAAAGAATCCGAATCACTGCTCTTTGAACTAATTTTGCATTAACCGGCCATTTTCTTAAATGGAACCTATGCATTATGACACAATAAGCACCTGCTCTTTTATTCATTGATTCGGTACTTGTTTAATGACTGAGACATGATCGGGTTCATTGCACACAGTTACGAGTAGCACCGATTTCAAATGAGCACTTCTGACGCTACTTACTGTATTTCCCCTTTTAGAGTAGGGCCATAAGCCTGAAGATTTAGGGCCATGTGACTTGTGCTGTTGCCACAGACTGTGCAGGTTAGTTTACTAATCACCATTACATAAAAATCTGTCACCTTACAAATGATTTGAACTGGTGTGTCCCAGGGAAGAGTCCAACATTCTTAACCATTTAGCCAGCTGTTTTTAAAGTATGCTAGACAAAGATTCAGTGATGTATATATATTTTTTTTTTTATTATGGGCTTTTCACAGAAATCAGATAGTCACACTTTATTAAACATAAAGAGTACCAGATTTGTTCATTTATAAGACGACCCCTGGTGTTTTTTTGGGGGGTTTTTTTTTTCAACTCAAAGATTAGCCAGATGTATTGCCACATTGACCAGTACACAGTAAAGATTGGCCAGACATATTGCCACATTGACCAGGAAACAGTAAAGATTGGCCAGACATATTGCCACAATGACCAGTGCACAGTAAAGATTGGCCAGATGTATTGCCACAATGACCAGTGCACAGTAAAGATTGGCCAGATGTATTACCACATTGACCAGTACACAGTAAAGATTGGCCAGACATATTGCCACAATGACCAGGAAACAGTAAAGATTGGCCAGACATATTGCCACAAAGACCAGGAAACAGTAAAGATTGGCCAGGCATGTTTCCACATTGACCAGTACACAGTTGAGATTGGCCAGTCATGCACAATGTGTTGCTTGGGATAGGAGGAGTTCAGCTGTGACCCTGAACATTTGAATTAATTATTTCTGCACACCGTGACAGTGTCATTTATTTCACCATAGGTGGCATCACCTGATTGGATGCTGACATTTGATGAGCTGAGGCAGTGTGAGTTGAAGCTGTGTCCACTTCGCATCCACACCGAGGGGGCAATTGAAGACAGTGGCCCCGATACAATCCAGGTACACAAATTTACTTGTGGGAGAAGGAATTGTTTTATTTCATGACAGAGGCATACAGTTATTCTATAGAAAACTGCCATTTCATTTTATGAGACAAGCCATCTTAGTCTTTGATTGTGTGTGTATTCTGTGAGCTGATATATATTCTTGTTTCTTCCTTATGGCCACAGTCATCCTAGAGATAGGCCTGACGTCTTCCCTCGAAGTCGGTGTACATTTGCCGTGAGGCAAGAAAAGGCAAAAGCCAGTAAAATGGTTGTACATGCAAAACTCAGGTCCAGCTAAAAGCCAAAAGTTCAAGCGGACAATCAGCCTGGACCTTCCGCCAGAATTCACAGCCGGTGAACGAAAAAAAAGAAGAAGTTTTTTTCATCTTCTCATTCACCAGCTGTAAACTCTGGCAGAAAGTTTTGGTTGTTCAGCCAACTCTAGACCTTAGTCTTGTTCCAAAACCTGACTGTTGTGTGCGCATCCATTTTACAGAGGGTTGTGTAATTTGCATCTTTAGCCAATGATGTCAAGAACCACCGAGTTCTGGCGTGGAAGACTGGAAGCTGTGTTCATTCATCTGTGAGTCCTGATATTTGTACTAGCTCACTAAGCACTGAATGTGATGAGCCAGAATGTCACAAAGGTAGAGATGGACACGGTGCAGGTTGATCTTAGAAACTACCAGTTCATCCAGAATAAAAAATATATATATATAATCTGATCTCATGAGATCCCTGTTCTTTTTTTGCTTACTAAGCACAGTATGTGATGAGCCAGAATGTCACAAAGGTAGAGATGGACACGGTGCAGGCTGATCTTAGAAACTATCAATTCATCCTGAATAAAAAATATATATATACATAATCTGATCTCATGAGATCCCTGTTCTTTGTTTGCAGGTTTGTTTTGGCAACAAGTCAATCGGAGGTGGTGTACTTGGGCGCAGTGTGGTTCAGGTGCGTCTCCAGCATCTTTATATTGACAGATTCTTTTTTTTTTTTTTTACAAATATCTTCTGCTGACATTTTTCTTCTATTGGCAGACATTTTGTTTTGAGAAAACATCTCCAGCTTACAAACCAATTCTGTTTACCTGCATCTCATATTGACAGACTAGTTCTGTTACATTCATCTCACATTGACAAACTAATTCTGTTAATCTCATATTGACAGACTTATTGTGTTTACATGCATCTCTTATTGACAGGTTAATTCTGTTTGTATGCATCACTTAATGAGATACGAATTCTGTTTGTATGCATCACTTAATGAGATACTAATTCTGTTTGTATGCATCACTTAATGAGATACTAATTCTGTTTGTATGCATCACTTAATGAGATACTAATTCTGTTTGTATGCATCACTTAATCATCATCATCAGTTCTCATTATGCCTAGTGGCACATGAGGCTTCAGAGAGGGCTTTCCGTGCTTTCCTGTCCTGTGCAATCTTCAATGCAGTTTTCCATGTCAAAGATGCCGCACTCAGGTCACTTTCCATCGTTCGTCTCCATGTTGTTTTTGGGCGCCCCTGTTTTCTCTTTTCTTCTGGTGTCCATGTGAGAGCTGTTTTGGCGGGTAAATCAGGATTCTTTCTCATAACGTGGCCAAGCCATTTCCATCTTCTCTTGGTTATCATACTGTCTAAAGTTTCTTGGTTTGTGACTTGAAGTAGTTTAGTGTTTGAGATTGTATCTGTCCAGAAAATTTTGATAATTCTACGAAGACATGTGTGGTGAAAATGAGAGATGAGAGACTAATTTTGTTTGTATGCATCTTTTAATGAGAGACTAATTTTGTTTGTATGGTATGTGGTTGCCGAAGGGAACAGTATTACACAACACACAAATTTCAGGAACTTTTTGAAGCAACTTCGTATATCTGCTGTTTACATTTAAAAGAAAAATTTTTGTTTTTCAGGAAGAAATAATGTTCAGCACATGCCCGGAGCTAATGGCTGCAATGCTGTTTACAGAAAATATGGAGACAAATGAAGCCATTCTGGTCTCTGGCTTTCATCGGTTTTCCTCTTACTCGGGCTATGGAGATAATCTGGAATTCAAAGGACATTATAGCGGATCTGATCAAGTAAGCTTGGAACTGTTATTATGTGGTAATATTACTTTGATTTTGTGTGTGCTCCGAAGTCCATGGGTTCATTACATGAACGGCATTGTGATGTTTGTGTGTGCATAAGTCTTGGAGGTCCCTGGGCATCGTCACTAAGGCCACTGCAGGTGGCTGGCAGTTCTCGGAGACAGTGCCCTCTTAACACATGGTCTCATAGGACACTTGCACAGGTGCCCCAGAGTTGAGCTGAGTCAAGAATTGACATCAGAGCAATCAAGGCATTCCAACATGCGCTCCATCCCCATCTTCAGCAGCTAGCGCTGAGTTCCAATACTGATGGTACCGGTTGTAGTCTGGTTATATATCCTTGCCTTTCCCCTGAGCGCAGTGGGCCAGCCAGACCCTCTGGTCACACCCAGGCGCATCATTTTGTCCAGGTCATAATAATCCAGTTTCACTTCCGACTTCGTTTCTTGTTCCCAAAGGGACTTGACTAAATCTGCCTTGTCATGTATAAATTCACCACCCACTGGTGCAGATCCAGCCAGTCTGTCTGCCTGTTCATTCTTTACGGCAGCTCATACATTTTGTCCCAGGACCTTGAGGTCTTGGTTAACGGAGTCACCATTTGAAGGATGTACCTTTTCGGTCACGCACAACGGTCTTGACTGTAGAAGGGTTTTCCAGGTCAGAGGACTTACCACCTGAGTGTGCTCTTTTCACCAATAAGGCTAGACACAGAGACTCACTAGGGAGAACAGCCGGTGTGCTCCACTGCCTGAGAGTCTTAGCCACTAAATCCTTGAGTCTCCATGATCCTCGACCCTCGCAGGCCCCAGACTCTGGACTCTAGTGGCTAAGACTCTCGTGCAATGAAGCACACGGGCTAATCTCCCTAGTGAGTCTCTGGGTCTAGCCTTATTGGTGAAAAGATGCTCTCTAGATTGTTTCTCCTTTTCCTTCATTCACAATGTCAGCATGTCACTGATCTTGTTGTGTTCTGTTGTTGTCTCTGTTAGGTTCACACAATGGTAACCATCGATGCAGCATCCTATCGAGACACACCTATGTGTCAACAGTTTGAGGATGCCTCAGTTCTACGGGATCTTAATAAAGCATTGATTGGCTTCAGCTGGGTTCCAGGAACTGATGGTGGAAGACTGCAGCCAGGGAACATCGCTGCAAAAGATGGTCAGATTTTTTATTTTTATATATATTATAGTGAAGTTTGTATGTAGGTCAGAGACAGGGGTGCCAGCTTTTGGGGCTTAGGCATCTTGAGTCCCCAGCCCCAGTTAGAGAATACTTAGCCCCCTTGCCCCTTTCAGTTGTAAATGGATATACATGTATGTTTGTGTATGTCTATGTTTATGCTATTCAACACAATATAACTATGCACTTAAACAAGGCTTACACTCTTGCAACCCTCTTCCTTCTTAGAAAAGTTGGGGGGGGGGGGGGGGGGGTCTCAGTATTATAATTTTGTCGGTGAATCTTGTTAAAGACATAAATGTTTGAATTGAAAATTAGGCTAAAAGTTCACTGAGGCTGGGATGATGGAGAGTTGAAGAGACTGGGTATAGAATGTTGGAAGAAAGTTGCTTGATATTTGATCTTCGAATTAAGATCCGGAAAATGTATATGTGCTTATGTGCAGAAAGTTTTTCATCATAAATGCAAAAAAAATATGTGTGTGTGTGTATATATATATATATATATATATATATATATATATATATATATATATATATATATATATATATATATATATATATATATATGTAAATATATGTATATATTTTTTTTTTTTTTGAGAAACTGATATAAAAAGACAGAATGTTTTTTTTTTTTTTTTTTAACAAAAGGTAAAATCAATCATGATGAAGGTGAATGCAAGGATAAATCACGCTTAGGGTAATACAATGATAAATCATGCTGAAGGGGAACACAAGGATAAGTCGTGCGGAACGAGTCGCTGAAGTCACCATTAGTTTAGTACTCTGCGCTTGCTGCTGAAGATGGTGACAGAGCGCTTATGGGAATGTCCCAAGTGCTATGATGTTAATTCTTGACTCAACTCAACTTAATTCATAACTCATAAATAATTACCTTCTTTTTTAACTACTTTATGTTCTTCACTGATCACACTTTTCCTTGTGGCCTTGGGATTTTTGATCTCCTTTTGTGTCTATTGATACCTTTTTGTGTCCTGACTTTTGATCTCTTTCTGTGTCTTGACTTTTGATCTCTTTCTGTGTCTTGACTTTTGATCTCTTTCTGTGTCTTGACTTTTGATCTCTTTTTGTGTCCTGACTTTTGATCTCTTTCTGTGTCTTGACTTTTGATCTCTTTCTGTGTCTTGACTTTTGATCTCTTTCTGTGTCTTGACTTTTGATCTCTTTCTGTGTCTTGACTTTTAATCTCTTTCTGTGTCTTGACTTTTGATCTCTTTCTGTGTCTTGACTTTTGATTTCTTTTTGTGTCCTGACTTTTGATCTCTTTCTGTGTCTTGACTTTTGATCTCTTTCTGTGTCTTGACTTTTGATCTCTTTCTGTGTCTTGACTTTTGATCTCTTTCTGTGTCTTGACTTTTGATTTCTTTTTGTGTCTTGACTTTTGATCTCTTTCTGTGTCTTGACTTTTGATCTCTTTCAGTGACTTGACTTGGTATCCCTTTTTATGTGTTTTGATGCCTTTGTGCGTCTTGAGTTGTGATCTATTTTTTGTGTCTTGACTTTTGATCTCTTTCTGTGTCTCGACTTTTGATCTCTTTCTGTGTCTTGACTTTTGATCTCTTTCTGTGTCTTGACTTTTGATCTCTTTCTGTGTCTTGACTTTTGATCTCTTTCTGTGTCTTGACTTTTAATCTCTTTCTGTGTCTTGACTTTTGATCTCTTTCTGTGTCTTGACTTTTGATTTCTTTTTGTGTCTTGACTTTTGATCTCTTTCTGTGTCTTGACTTTTGATCTCTTTCAGTGACTTGACTTGGTATCCCTTTTTATGTGTTTTGATGCCTTTGTGCGTCTTGAGTTGTGATCTATTTTTTGTGTCCTGACTTTTGATCTCTTTCTGTGTCTCGACTTTTGATCTCTTTCTGTGTCTTGACTTGGTATCCCTTTTTATGTCTTGAGTTTTGATGCCTTTGTGCGTCTTGAGTTGTGATCTATTTTTGGTGTCTTCTTAACTTTCTAATACAGATGAATCACCTGGAGCAGCAGATATGGCTGCCGATATTGTTACAAGTGCATTGACCGATGCTTTGCTTCAGGCTGCTGCCAGTCCAGTTGACCCAGTGAGTCGACAGCTGTCTGTCCATCCTCACGGTCTTTCAAGTGACCAGCCACCTCAGCGAGATCTGAGCACGGACTTTGTAGAGAACCATTCTTCTGCTGGAGAATCTGCTGCTGCCACATCTCACATTGAGCAGAATTGCTCACACAGTTCGCTGATGTATTCTGGGAGTCTTCACACTGTACAGTCACAATCTTATCCAACACACCAACCATCAACCTCATCTGTAGTATCCGCAGAAGACAGTATCTCTGTTCCTAGCTTATTACAGCCGTCATCATCTTGTAGTCCCATATCTGTGCCGTCTGCCAATACTTCCACCGTTTGTCTTCAAATTTCAGTTCACAGCTCAGATTCCTTATTTGCTCAGCAACTTAACCTCATGGGACATCCTGAAGGACAATTCCAAGGACTTACCAGCCACTCTTCTGCTGATGAAATTTTGTCGCAGTCCTCACCTCCCAGAGAAGCATCTGGGAATCAAACTGACTTAGCAGCAGACGCAGAATTTAGTGGCGTAATAAGGTCACCTGGGCTGTTACATTCATTGAAGGCCCATTCTGAAAAATTAGCATGTGATGTTTTAGGTAACCTTCCCAGAATTAGTAACTCCCCTGCAGGAGAGTTTGTGGGGTCTGGTAAGCAAAAGTACTTACTGTATTCTGCTAGGCAGCCTGAGAAGTCTCAGTTACCAGAACACCCTGGGGGTTATCCTTGTTCAGTTGGTTCAAAAGATGTAAAGGATATTGTGATAGAGTTGCCCCTGACATCATCCACTGACACAGCTAAAGCAGCTTTCAGTCCTCCTACATTGTCATGTATGGACTCCGAAAAAGTTAAAAGTGATGAGCCTGTGTTTTCCCGGAATGTGAGAGCATTGACAGATGATAAATATGAAGATATTGTAAACTCAGTAGATGTGCTTCTTTCTTTACCTGCGTTACAGGCAGAGTTTGAAAGAATGAGCTCAGGGCTTTCAAGTTCATCTTTGGCTGTCAACATTGACTCTCAGAGTGCATCTGCTAATTCTGCCGAAGAAGAAAGCAACAGACAACCAAACACAGAAGTTCTTTACATCAATGTAAATAGCAGTGTTGAAACTTGGAGTCGCAATAGAGACAAATCCGATGAAAGAGCATCCAGTATAGATTCATCAGTCTTGTTGGAACCTCCATTCTCTTCTTCACCCCAGTCATCAGTATCATCTGCAAATGTATCTCCCAACACATCTTTTCTTGTTTCTGAGCCTCCCAGCAGGTCCAGTGATGTACACACTGCTGCAGATTTCTTTATTCCAGCTTCGGATGGTCTCAGCGGTCAAGCCCGTCAGTCTTCAAGAAGGGAGTCCAGAGACTTCTACGGAGAACTCAGGGATTTCCTCAGCTCCTCAAGTTCAGGATCCAGAAGTTCTGGGTCAGCTGGCCCTCATTCCAGCACCGCTTCCTCTTCAGGGTCAAGGTCAGGGTCTCTGTCCTCTCATGGCACAAATGGCTCAACTATTGACTTTCCAGAATTCTGGAGTAACTTCCGACGTCGAAGCTCTCAGATAAGTGACACCACATCACGAAGATCAAGCTCCAGCAAACACAGTTCGGACTTCAGCACTGACCTTGAGGTAGATAAATACCATCATTACTTATCTCCTGAATTTTAGGTAGATAAATACCATCATTACTTATCTCCTGAACTTTAGGTAGATAAATACCATCATTACTTATCTCCTGACCTTGAGGTAGATAAATACCATCATTACTTATCTCCTGACCTTGAGGTAGATAAATACCATCATTACTTATCTCCTGACCTTGAGGTAGATAAATACCATCATTACTTATCTCCTGAACTTTAGGTTTATAAATACCATCATTACTTATCTCCTGAACTTTAGGTAGATAAATACCATCATTACTTATCTCCTGAACTTTAGGTAGATAAATACCATCATTACTTATCTCCTAAACTTTAGGTAGATAAATACCATCATTACTTATCTCCTGAACTTTAGGTTTATAAATACCATCATTACTTATCTCCTGAACTTTAGGTAGATAAATACCATCATTACTTATCTCCTGAACTTTAGGTTTATAAATACCATGATTAATTAACTTTATTTTATCTCCTGATCTTTAGATAGACAAGAACCATGATAAAATTATTTTATCACTTGATCTTTAAGTAGACAAATACCATGATAAAATGCTAATTTTTGTGTGTTAATTTCTGGATCTTGAGGTAGGTAAATACCATCATAACTTTCTATCTCCTGATCTTGGAGCAAACAGATACCATCATTACTTATCTCCTAATCTATATGTAGACAAATACCATTGTAATTTCATACCTCCTGACCTTGGGGTAGATCTGTGTAAGATATTGGGATGTGTTCCCTGTTATTTATTTTTGTATTGAAACATATTGAAGCAAAGAATAATGTACACTCTCTTATACCATCATAGTTGTGGATTAATAAATAGTTAGCAGGCACACTGGCAAACAGAATACCAATCTGGCAGTCAGGAGACAACAGCTTGAATCCTCTTTAAAATGTAAAACCTGTATGTCTTGAGGTGTGTGGTGATGATCTGATATCTGTTTAGATCAGCTAGCACTTGATAAGTGATGTGACCCTTATCAAACCAGGTCACTTTACTTTCCACAACAAGTTGAGTTTTTGTTGTTGTTTGGGGGGGGGGGGGAGGGGGGGGGTGGGTGTGTGCCCATTTTAGACTGGATTGACTTTGAACCCAGGCTTAATTTATGGAGGTCTGAACCTGTTACCACCACCCAGCTAGTCATTTGCCCAGCTATTATGCCACACATCTCCCTATAAATAAGGCAAAAGAATTGTTTCTGCTTTCTTTTTTTTTATCCATACTTTCTGGCAGTAGTCATGTCTATCCACAGCCTTCTGTGTCATGTACTTTCAGTCACATCTGACACCAATATCTTCCACGCCTACGAGGTCCGACTGTCCAGCATCTCTGTTGGTCTCCCTCTGCCTGTATCTGTGAGAGGTAGCAGCATGCATCTGCAGACATCAGTCCTCACTTGTGTGTTTTGAGCTCAGGAGGGAAAGAGAATAGTATAGTAACATAGTAGCCTGCCATGTCATAACAGGAAACTGGAGGGGTAGCATGAAACTGGCCTCCTTAGTATGATGAACAGTATGGCTGCCAAATCTTGCTTACCAGGGACAGTTCTACAAAGGAATTCTTTTGTTTAGTGTTAGAGCCTGTGCTAGCTTGGAAAATAAAAGATGAAACAAATTGTGACGCATATTTTTTAACAGAATATTATATATAAATTTTATTCCCTTTCACCTTTGATTAAATTTGTTGTGTTTCAGGAAATAGCTGAGGGGATACAAAGACATGATCATGGGGTGATTGAAGAAGAGGAAAACTTTTTGTCTTTGGTGACCGAGTTTGCCTCCAGCTTTGTGTCTGTGGCTGTGAGAAATGGTGTCTCAATAGCTGCTAAGAGGAATGCCTCCGGCAACCATCACAAGGAGGAACAAGGGGACAGACTGCAATCACATACAGATAAACAGAAGTCTGAGGTTGTTCATCTGGATCAGCTGAAGACAGATACAGAGCTCCTAGATTTGTCATCCTCCACTTTCAGTCTGCAGGGGGAGCAATCAGAGGCAGCTGCTGCAGTAGCAGATGTGTCTCAGTCTTCATCTCTACACAGCAAAGGTGATGAATTAATTGAACCTCCGCTTCATGTTGGATGTGTCTCTCCTACACGATCCTCCAGCAAATATCTCAGATCCTTGGGTGCACCTGTTTCTCCTTGTGCAGCATCTTACACTCAGGAGTCAGCCACCAAAAGATCAATTCACCCATTAGCTAGTCACAGCACTGACTCTGGTTTCTCTTCTGGGATGTCATCCATAGCTTTAAGATCAGAACATAAAACATTAGAATCACTGAGTGAGGACACCAGTGGATATACCTGTACAAATGTGCCAGCATCCAAAATGGAAGGTTTGCTTTCAGAAAGGGCAAGTAGACATCTTGCATCAGATAATGCCAGGACTTCTCCCAGCATGCCTGCTTGTTTATTTCCAGGGAAACTTGATTGTGATCAGTCATCTGATCCCACTGTTGATAAACCAAACATTCCACCATCACCAGCTGATCAGACACAGTATGCAGTTTTAGAGTCAAAGATTGTATTTCTTGAAGCAGAAAATGTGCCGAAACTTCCATCCACGGAGCAAGTTCAATCGGACACAAAGGGAGCGTGCATCCCATTACATCCTGCACAGGAAGAGAATGAATCTGGACTAGCAGAGTGTGTTGAGTCAAGCGTTCGTATTTCCAGAATAAAGTCTAAGCAACTGAAGAGCTCGTCTAGAGGTACGGCAGACGTTCTGAGGCACGAGCAGAAGCATTTTAGAAGACAAAAGGCCAAAGATGAAACCTCGGAGGATTTGGATCCATGGTATCAGGACAAAACAGACATGGTTAGGGAGACTTCCTTGGCAGCAGAAGCTGGGGCATCTGTCTGTAGCAGTCCTCAGCATGAAAAACTCCATCCTTTCAGTGGCGCTGTTGCACCTTTGAAGACCTCTGGTATCCCAAAGCTTAAAGATAAAAGATTGTCCTATTCAGAGAGCGCAATACAAGCTAGAAGTAAAAACTTGTCTACACAAAAACTCAGTACTGCAGTAGTCAAAGAGAAACAAAAAGATCTTAAAAGAGACAGGACACCAAAAGAAAGCAGTTCATCTCACAGCAGACTCAGCACAAACAAACCAATGCTGAAGTCCCACAAAAGTAGGTATGTGTTTTCTGATGTTGCTGCACCACCTGCTGACACAAGGAGATCAAGAACAGCCCCAGAATCCTCTACAAAGAAGCAGAGTGGCAAAAAAGAGGCGAAAAAACATGACGAGAAAAGAAGGAAACAACGAGCCGATTCAACCAAACATGATCCTTTAAAGTATACTAGGTCGCAGAAGTTTATTCGTTTTGTTAATTCTCTCGCTGAAATTTCTGTAAGCCGGGGAGTTCTTGAAGGGGCAGAGATCTTGGTTCAGAGGTCTGCAGGTCCCAGAAACATGTCTGATGAACTGTACAACTGGTTTGCTACTAAGATAGTTGCAGAAGTGTTTCTGCATGTCCTCAGGGAAGTTGACGGGCAGCAAAATAGTCAAAATGCTGCCCTTTCACAGCCTCAGCAGAATAGTACATTCCCTGGTGAAGCTGGGTGTGAACTTAGTAGGGAAGATTACAGTGCTAGCAGATTAGATGTAAGCAGGGATGAAGCAGTTGTACCAAAACCTAAAAGCATACTGCCAGTAAAATCAGATGCCCAGGCGCCCGAGTCAAAAGTGTCAGGTCAGATGAGAATGTATGGATCTTTAAAAATGGTCAAGTTTAAAGATAATCAAGCACAAGACGACAGCTCATTATCTTTCCCACAAGCTCAGGTTACCTCCTCCACCAAAACCAATGCCAGTCCGACATTCCACAGACACAGCAGCAATATCCCTGTACCCAGCAGACGTAGAAGTAGCGTAGACCTTCCGTTGTCATCATCATCATCTCCGCCTGGAGCTAGCGGTCTGACCTCTTCAAAGCTACAGCTGAAGTCAGCATCACCACAGCAGAAACAGGCCAGCATGTCCAGTAATGGCAGTTTGACCAGCAGAGACTTGTCCATAGATGTCTATCAGACGGCAGCGGCCATTGTGAGTCAAGTGTTTCAGGCAGTCTCCGACAGCTTGGAGGCCCAGCCACTGAGTCCGGTCTCCTCTGGCCGCCATGGCACACTGTCCTCCTCAGATACAGCCATTCATTCTACAGGTCTGTTATTGTATCGTATACGGTAATACTTATTTACTGTTTTTATCAAGGAGCTGCTGACTAAATAGTTTAGATTTCATTTGGCAGACCTAGGTTCGAATTCTCACTAAGGTGACAGATATTTATTTGTTGTCGCAAACATAAAACCCTAACCTGCACAGTCTGTGGCGTCTGCACTAGCCATGCATGCCTTAATTCTCAGGCTGATAACACTCCCATCACTTTCTTTTTCCTGCCCTACACAACCTTAAAAAAAAAATTGTAAATATATGCAGTAAAGAGATGTTTTTACTTTAGAAAAATTACTCCTTCTTTTTAGCATCCACCTGCTGCTAATGGCAGAAGTAGGTTTTGCTTGTTCATCCCCCTCTGGACTTTAGCCTTGTTTCAGAAATTGAGCTTTGCATGCACATCCGTTTTACAGTTATTTGTGTGCAGACAGTTGGTTCCTCGCCTTTCAGGAGATGCACTCTTGACTTCGCATAAATTATTCCTAATTAGTCACCTTATACAAAATGTTTGTTAACGAGGCAATGGGTTTGATCTCTCAGAATGGGGCCAGCGGCACCCACATGGGGAGCTTTCTTCTTGTAATATATTTGTGGGGTTTCTTCCTAAATATCCCGCATCATGTGGCTTTGGTAGTCATGTCTATACATTGCCATCATGTCTCTTGACACAGAGCTTTCATACCATGATGTCTGAGTCTTTGGTAGTCATGTCTATACATTGCCATCATGTCTCTTGACACAGAGCTTTCATACCATGATGTCTGAGTCTTTGGTAGTCATGTCTATACATTGCCATCATGTCTCCTGAGACAGAGCTTTCATACCATGATGTCTGTGGCTTTGGTAGTCATGTCTATACATTGCCATCATGTCTCCTGACACAGAGCTTTCATACTATGATGTCTGAGTCTTTGGTAGTCATGTCTATACATTGCCATCATGTCTCTTGACACAGAGCTTTCATACCATGATGTTTGAGTCTTTGGTAGTCATGTCTATACATTGCCATCATGTCTCTTGACACAGAGCTTTCATACCATGATGTCTGAGTCTTTGGTAGTCATGTCTATACATTGCCATCATGTCTCTTGACACAGAGCTTTCATACCATGATGTCTGAGTCTTTGGTAGTCATGTCTATACATTGCCATCATGTCTCTTGACACAGAGCTTTCATACCATGATGTCTGAGTCTTTGGTAGTCATGTCTATACATTGCCATCATGTCTCTTGACACAGAGCTTTCATACCATGATGTCTGAGGCTTTGGTAGTCATGTCTATACATTGCCATCATGTCTCCTGAGATAAAGCTTTCATACCATGATGTCTGTGGCTTTGGTAGTCATGTCTATACATTGCCATCATGTCTCCTGAGATAGAGCTTTCATACCATGATGTCTGAGTCTTTGGTAGTCATGTCTATACATTGCCATCATGTCTCTTGACACAGAGCTTTCATACCATGATGTCTGAGGCTTTGGTAGTCATGTCTATACATTGCCATCATGTCTCCTGAGATAGAGCTTTTATACCATGATGTCTGAGTCTTTGGTAGTCATGTCTATACATTGCCATCATGTCTCTTGACACAGAGCTTTCATACCATGATGTCTGTGGCTTTGGTAGTCATGTCTATACATTGCCATCATGTCTCCTGAGATAGAGCTTTCATACCATGATGTCTGTGTCTTTGGTAGTCATGTCTATACATTGCCATCATGTCTCCTGAGATAAAGCTTTCATACCATGATGTCTGTGGCTTTGGTAGTCATGTATTTACATTGCCATCATGTCTCCTGAGATAAAGCTTTCATACCATGATGTCTGTGTCTTTGGTAGTCATGTATATACATTGCCATCATGTCTCCTGAGACAGAGCTTTCATACCATGATGTCTGAGTCTTTGGTAGTCATGTATTTACATTGCCATCATGTCTCCTGAGACAGAGCTTTCATACCATGATGTCTGTGGCTTTGGTAGTCATGTCTATACATTGCCATCATGTCTCCTGAGACAGAGCTTTCATACCATGATGTCTGTGGCTTTGGTAGTCATGTCTATACATTGCCATCATGTCTCCTGAGATAAAGCTTTCATACCATGATGTCTGTGGCTTTGGTAGTCATGTCTATACATTGCCATCATGTCTCCTGAGATAAAGCTTTCATACCATGATGTCTGTGGCTTTGGTAGTCATGTCTATACATTGCCATCATGTCTCCTGAGACAGAGCTTTCATACCATGATGTCTGTGGCTTTGGTAGTCATGTCTATACATTGCCATCATGTCTCCTGAGACAGAGCTTTCATACCATGATGTCTGTGGCTTTGGTAGTCATGTCTATACATTGCCATCATGTCTCCTGAGACAGAGCTTTCATACCATGATGTCTGTGGCTTTGGTAGTAATGTCTATACATTGCCATCATGTCTCCTGAGACAGAGCTTTCATACCATGATGTCTGTGGCTTTGGTAGTCATGTATATACATTGCCATCATGTCTCCTGAGATAGAGCTTTCATACCATGATGTCTGTGGCTTTGGTAGTCATATCTATACATTGCCATCATGTCTCTTGACACAGAGCTTTCATACCATGATGTCTGTGGCTTTGGTAGTCATGTATATACATTGCCATCATGTCTCTTGACACAGAGCTTTCATACCATGATGTCTGTGGCTTTGGTAGTCATGTATATACATTGCCATCATGTCTCCTGAGATAGAGCTTTCATACCATGATGTCACAGGACAGTATCTGGTTCGTCTCTTTCGACTACATCAGCCCTGCAGGAGTCCTTTTCAGGGCAGTTGGTGGCGTGCAGTGCTGAGCCATTTTATATGGCGCACATAACTTAGTCACAATTATAACCTAAAGCTTCCCCTTCTGGGATGATGGTTGAAAGTGACAATTTCTTTTGTTTTCCGATAAAGCACCTCCACTCTAGTGCAGTTTGGCCTATAGAAATATGTCAATAGAGAACCTGTTTTATGCCAGTGGCAGACTGAACATTTGAAGCTGTGACATGGGTGCACTACTCGTTTGATGAAAAAGGTCCTTTACCAACACCTACTGTTTTCCTCATTTGACAAAGATAGATGACATAAAATATTCTTTGAAATGCTGTCTTTGCTTGAGCTGTTCTACACATAACTTCCTTAATGCATCTGCAGTTATGGGAGGTGCCTTGGGGTAGTAGCTAGATGCTCGCCCGCAGATCCGAAGGTTGCAGGTCCTGACAGAGCCAGATTTATTTTCTTTTTAATTTTTGTTCCTTTAAAAAAATGACCTTGACTCCCCAGTTGACCCAGCTTTAAATGAGTACCAGGTAAAGTCATGGGATGTAAAGGTGGCTGTCAGGATTTTGACCACATCGCCGACAAGTTCCGATTAGTCTATAAAATATAGGTCTAGCCCTATTTGCCTGAAGGCTTGATAAGGAAACCTTTCCATCTGCTGTTATCAGGAAATCTGTCAACTTTATTCAGCTTGTCCTATTTACTTTGTTTTTATAATTTGTTAATGCATAATTTTTTTTTTTGGTAATTACTATTACTATCTGTAAACATTATAGTCATTGTCTATCATTCCAGGAAGCAGAATCAACAGCACTTATGATAGCATTGCCTCCAACATATTTTCAAGCTCGTCACCTAAAGCCTCTGAAAGTCCCCGACGTACTCGCCGTTCTGTGTCTCCCAGCATTGGCGGCATCTTTTCTAGGAAACCCATGAGCCGCGAAACGCTGACAAACGCTTTCCTCAAAGTGGACAGTAGACCGAGCTTTAAGACATATGAGCGTCGCAGCAGCGAGCCATGCCAGACAAGTGTCCTACTGTCTCTGCAAGCTTTCAACAGTATTAAATTCAGCAAACAGGCAGTTGAGGACAAGCAGAGGAAAATTTCTCGAACTGATGATGATATAGGGCGTCCGAGGACCTGGCGGCGAGGCTCATTGGATGGGTTCTCATTTGAACGGAGAAATTCTTGTGGGTTTAAAGATCCAGTGCTGTCTAGATTTGCAGAAGAACTCATGAAAGCGGACACGTCAGTTCCTGAGTTGGTCATCGTGGGCTCTAGTTCAAGTTCTTCTACAAGTGGTAAATATTTTTATTGTGTTTACCCTGATGAATATACACTGATACCTTGTTCTAACAGGTATCTACAGATAAACGGATGGGAACATCTACCCAGTACTAATAATCATCCACGCTTAATGAAATGGGGTCTGTACTGGCGAATATCAGTCAAGTAAAACAGCATGGCACAGTAGAAGTGTAGTCAGCCCATAACCTTGAGATCCATGGATCCGAACCATGCTCTGATAGTTTTCAGGTGGTCTCCATGTCCAAGTGGTCAAGCCATTTGTCTCCCACTCTGAAGGTCGCTGGTTAATTTCACGGCTGCACAGCTCTGTACATAAGCATAGTGTTTCCGCAGATCTCTGGTGATCCTCACTGGAGCGACGAAGTTGATGTTTTGTGCTATACTTTCAGCAGGGGACCTAACCTGCTGCAATCAAGTCATCCTGTCAGCTTTGACTGATTATGTTAACAGTAAAACTAAGCCAAACATCTGATGTAACAGTGTAAAAATATTTGTAAATATCATTGGAAATATAATCATCTAATCTGAATTTGTTCACTGTTGCCACAACTTCCTGAACTGCACATTGTAATCATTTTAGGTTCTGTATTATTATCCTGCGGCGTCCGAGGCTAAGGCGTTGCGACTCCGACTCGTAAGCCAGCATACCGCGATCGAAACCCACTGCAGGCTGCGTGGATTTTTGTCATGGTATGGGACGTCGCAGTTCGACCCAGCCTAAAATGGGTACCAGGAAGGGCTGTCCTGGGAAAGTAAAGACAGCCGGCGTAATGCTGACCACATTACCCACAGAGTGCTAATGGTCTGTAAAAATATGGGACGCTCTGCCCATATGCCCGATGCGCCGAAAGGCGTGAAAAGGGAACTTTACTTTTTTTACTTTTTTTTAATTATTATCCTACCCCAAACAGAGGAAATCCACAGGTCACGGGACAGTCTGATATTTCAGAGGGTGGCAGATAGGCTGCATGCAGTTGTGGGACCCAGGCTACAGGCATTCATGGGACTTCGGCTGCACTCTCTCTTGGGACGTAGGTGGGTTGGGGTTAGGACCAGTTCTAGATGTTTTGGGGTTGTTAAAAGCATCAGACAAATTATAAATACAATCTTTATACCGACATTAGGTTATCAATGTCAGACTTGGACATTAGCAAAAGAACACGAGAGAAGACTAACCACCTGTGAAATGAGATGTTTGAGAATGGCTGCGAATAAAACCAGAAGAGATCGAGTGAGAAACTATGTGATTACAAGAACTATTGGAACCATACCCATCGTTAAATTTATTGAGAAGCAAAGAATGAAATGGTTTGGTCACCTAATGAGAATGGAACCAACGATGCCAGCATCAAGAGCATACAACATGAAAATCGAAACACAAAGAGGCAGGGGAAGACCAAGAAGAAGATGGATTGAAGGAGTCATGGACAACTTGAGACTTCATAACATCACAGCATATGAAGCGACTGAGCGCGCCCTGGCTCGGTTGCCGATCATCTGATAGACTGCGACGCCTAGCGGCACAAGCAGATTTTGACAAAAGAAGAAAGAAAAGCATCAGAAAGCCGGGAAACCCAGTCTTCCCACCCTCTAAAATGTTTTTTGGACTGTCCTAGGACGTCATTTTGGGTAGGATATTAATCAAGAAGCACATTGTAATCTGAAAACGACTCAATCAGCCGCCCCAGGTTTTGTCAGTTCTTTCAATGTCTGCTCAGTGAGGTCCATTAGACCAAGATATGGTTCTGTTATATGGAGCCGTGGCAGCTTGCTGATTTGCTAACCATCCATTTTATTTCCAATGCCAAAGAGATTTATTTGCTACTCTAATATTGTGAAATTATGAATTGTATTCACTTCCTCTGTAGCTTAAAGAGACCTGTAATTGGTTTCATTACAGACATGGTGCGGTGTCAAAACAAAGGGGGAAAACTGTCTTTACCGCCACTGTTTATACATTTTTTTTTTCAAGTGGTTTGTTCAGGCAGTAATGACGATGTCAGGAAAGAAGTTGGGATGGAACCAGTACTAAACAGCATCAAGAGACAATAGATCAAATGGTTTGGACATGTGTCAAGACCATTGAAACAGAGTCTGCTTGACTTCTTGGTTCATTCATTCCACTGTTGTGCATGTGCAGTCAACTAGTGGGCATAACCTCACTCTTCCCGTTCAACCACTAAATTAATTCTTTCTATCTCTGTGCCCATGATAAAACAAACGTTACCGAAGTAACCTTCAAAGATCAGTTTTACTAGATAACCACTACCCTGGCGTCTCAGACACACAGTTAAAAACATCTCAGTGACTCAAAATTCAAGTCTATAAATTTTATTTTTTATTTTTAAAATGTTATCTTCCCTTTTCTTTAGACAATTAACAAAACAAAAGATTTGCATTCAAAAATGTTATTTCAATACATCTATCTGAAGTATGTAGTAACACTGACTTAGTCTCTAACATTTATCTATGGGTTCTTTAAGATTACTCTATAAAGAGTATTCCCAAATCCCGAGCTAAGTCTCCTGCCCACTACGTCTAACCTGACCTGGCCTGCCCTCCCTCTCATCTGAGAGGTCCAGACACTCGCTTATATTGGTGCCGTTAGCTCGCTTCCAGAATCTTCCAGCGTGTTTTGCAAACCGCTACTGCGTTTCTAAAATACAAGTTTATCAGAAGAATTCCAAAAAATGTTGTAAACGTGGTATTTTCATGTACTAGAAGGGAGGGTCACATGATGTTTAGCTAAACTGCTGGAAGTCTCGAGAAGCCCAGGCCAAGGACACCATGTACTATTGTGCTGTCACCGAGCTTTGTGGAAAGGTTCTGCAAATAAAGGTGAAGGCCTTGATGAGCCTGTTGTTCTCCAACCTTTTTAATGCAATTTGTGCAGGGTCCCTGTTACAGCATCACCAGATAGTGCAGCATAGAGAGCACTGTCACAGAGCACTGTCATAGAGCACTGTCATAGAGCACTGTCATAGAGCACTGTCATAGAGCACTGTCACAGAGCACTGTCATAGAGCACTGTCACTTAGGCATGATAGAAGCAGACCTAGAGGTGGACCACACAAGTGATGGATGGTTGGAATATCCAAGACTGTAAACATGAGCATCTGCGTAGCACCAAGGCTTGCACCTGATGCCTCTTCAGAATGTGACGCAGAAGGTCAGAACAGGACTAGAGAAGAAGAAGATTTACTACTTTTCTGGTAGCGTAGGATAAGGGGCACAATGAGCATGAGGATTTCAGGAAGTTGCCACAAACTGTGCAGGTTGGGACTTTTTAAACAAAAGTGAGTGCCCAACTACTCTGCCAGGCTCCTCCTCCCAGTATCAGAAAACCTAAGTTAAACATGGACGTTACTATAATTCTTGTCATAAACTGCAAGACAGATCTTCTTATCTTCATATTCACTGGCTGTAAAATCTGGCAGAAAGTTCTGGTTGTTCATCTACTTCTGGACTTTAGTCTTGTTCCAAAATTGTGAACTATGTACGCACATTCATTTTACGTATCTGGTTTATTTGTATGCAGATTGCTGATTCCTTGCCTCTGACAGATCCACTTTGACTTTGAAAGAAACCACTAATTTGGCATTCTTGCTGGAGAGACAGCGGGTCTGTTCTTATGTCCGCCACAATGGGGTCCCTGGGATGTGCAGCATAAACATAAATGTTGTTACAATTCTTGTCATAATTTGTCTCTCCAGGATCCAGACGCAGCAGTATTTGCGCTTACAAAGATTTGAGCCAAGCAAACCTCGACAGTGAATTGCTCAACACGAGCTTCACCAGGTAAGCAGCTCTTGAATATTAATTGTTTGTGCTGCCATCTGTTATTGCATCACCAATATGGAAGAAACTTTACAGAATTTAAACACTATAGAAGAAACTTTACAGAATTTAAACACTATAGAAGAAACTTTACAGAATTTAAACACTGTAGAAGAAACTTTACAGAATTTAAACACTATAGAAGAAACTACAGAATTTAAACACTATAGAAGAAACTTTCCAGAATTTAAACACTGTAGAAGAAACTTTACAGAATTTAAACGCTATAGAAGAAACTCTACATAATTTAAACACTGTAGAAGAAACTTTACAGAATTTAAACACTGTAGAATAAACTTTACAGAATTTAAACACTATAGAAGAAACTTTACATAATTTAAACACTGTAGAAGAAACTTTACATAATATAAACACTATAGAAGAAACTTTACAGAATTTAAACACTGTAGAAGAAACTTTACAGAATTTAAACACTATAGAAGAAACTTTACATAATTTAAACACTGTAGAAGAAACTGTAAAGAATTTAAACACTTTAGGAAAAACTGTAGAGAATTTAAACACTATAGAAGAAACTGTAGAGAATTTAAACACTATAGAAGAAACTTTACAGAATTTAAACACTGTAGAAGAAACTTTACAGAATTTAAACGCTATAGAAGAAACTCTACATAATTTAAACACTGTAGAAGAAACTTTACATAATTTAAACACTATAGGAGAAACTTTACAGAATTTAAACACTGTAGAAGAAACTTTACAGAATTTAAACACTGTAGAAGAAACTTTACAGAATTTAAACACTATAGAAGAAACTTTACATAATTTAAACACTGTAGAAGAAACTGTAAAGAATTTAAACACTTTAGGAAAAACTGTAGAGAATTTAAACACTATAGAAGAAACTGTAGAGAATTTAAACACTATAGAAGAAACTTTACAGAATTTAAACACTGTAGAAGAAACTTTACAGAATTTAAACGCTATAGAAGAAACTCTACATAATTTAAACACTGTAGAAGAAACTTTACATAATTTAAACACTATAGGAGAAACTTTACAGAATTTAAACACTGTAGAAGAAACTTTACAGAATTTAAACACTGTAGAAGAAACTTTACAGAATTTAAACACTGTAGAAGAAACTTTACAGAATTTAAACACTATAGAAGAAACTTTACAGAATTTAAACACTGTAGAAGAAACTTTACAGAATTTAAACACTATAGAAGAAACTACAGAATTTAAACACTATAGAAGAAACTTTCCAGAATTTAAACACTGTAGAAGAAACTTTACAGAATTTAAACGCTATAGAAGA